CGAGTCTGCCAGTAACAGCACCACTAACAGCTCCCTTTTTTTGCTCATATGCAATAAATAAAAATACCTGGCTCCTCACAAACAAGAACAGCCTCTGCAAGCCACTGAAAGATCCGCATTTCTTTATAATGAGGTCTTGGGGCTAGGTAGGACAATATTATGGAAGGGTCAGAACGACAAGCCTTTCCCATAAACACATGTAGTTTCATTCCTATAATTTAAGTGAAAAAAAAAAATCTTAACTGTGCTGAAGTTTGCACTTGATTTGCATAGGTAATAGAAAAGCACGCAAAAAGCACACACTTAATAAGCAAAACAAAACCTTTGTAAAGGCTGGATTAAAGTCAAGCATTCCCAGAGACTTAATGAAGTATTCATCTCTGCAGTGCCTGAATGCTCCACAAATAAAGAGGGTTTTCATGGCATTTCAGGGATATTCAGGTTCCTGCAGTGCTATTCTTGTTTTACAAACAGGGAGCACTAGCGCACGCATGTTAAACATAAGAGAATCCAATTTGAGAGGCCCAAAACCTGACTACTTATATATACACGTGCTTCAAATATAAAGCTTGCGTTTAGTAAATACAGGAGGTCGGAGGTCCTTTGTGATGTATTTCAAAACTGTTAAAAAACATAAGAAAATGGAATCCAAATTTAACACAACCCAAGCACATTTCTTCATAGATTTGTAACATCTGAAATTTAAATTGAAATTACCTAGAAAACCATATCTGTACATATATGTGTATATGCATAGAAATTCTAATGCTGATACTTGCTATGAAAAATACTGGCTCAGTTCTGTAAAAGTTAGCGGGATGAAAAGAAAGAAAAAGGACACTAACAGGAAGGATCAAAATTTTAATCTACACGGGATCAGCAATGCTAAAGCCATGGGGTGAAAGAACATACATGAACTCTCCATTCGGGCACCGATGGATGAAAGAACAAGACTGCTATTGAGCAAAGGGACACCGTGGAAATGTAGAGGCAGCAATGAAGCTTTGACTTAACAAAAAGTATTTTCTATTGAAAAGATCATTCCACCAAAAAAAAAAGAAAGAAAAGAAAATATCTGGTTTAAGACAACTATTTTCCTTCAAGGAGACCAACACTGAAAAACACTGAAAGTCTTCATTCCAGGTTAGAGTGCCTCTACTACAAATGAAAAACATACTCTGAGCATTTTGTTAAGGATGAAAACCATTAAAAGCCTTTCACCTCTTCAGCATCTCCTCCCAGCACTCGTGGCTCTGGCAAGGGTCCCCGAAGGAGACCTCCGAGAACGCAACGTGTCCGCCAGAATGCATTCTTCTGCATCCACCTTCACAGCCATTACTGAAGACACCCGTAGTATCAGGGCCAGTACCACACTCAAGATGAGTAAGAAAATGCAATTTATATTGAAATGTGCATTTAAAAAAAAAATCCATTTGAGGACTGTCAAGTGTTTTAAAATGGAAACAGATGTTCAAACGCCAGATTTTCCTTTGCTCTGAGTAGAAGTGCAGAAGGCAGCATCCAGGCTCCATTCACCCAACAACCTAGCCGAAGCTCCTGTCCCTACAGACACTCCATTTTCAAGGTTATGCAAGCCTCCAAATGCCTGCTGAGCAACTGCCCACAGCCTCAACCCCGAGAAACTCTTGAGGGCATTTATTCAGTTGCCGTTGGCAAGCTTTACCGAAGCAACCTTCATTTCTAGGCGCTTGCAGCAGTGGTTGGGGCCAGGACTTGGTTCAGGCGTGGATGGGAAGTCCTTATCGCAGGCTGAGGGTCTCCCTGCAGAATTCCCAAGTCTGTATGTAGATGATCTGCTCAAGGCACGATACCCTGAAATGAGCTGCAGAACATGACGGTCTTCAGTAAGGAGCCCAGTTAACGACCATTATATTACTGGGTCTAAACCCCACACACTGTTGGGTTTAGCATCGCACTGGCGTCTCCTGGAGAGCCAGCAAGCTTTCAGTCCCTGCAAACGCCGGAGCCTGTGCAATACGGGACCGCGCACGCAATTACAGGAGACATCGACTCGCTAACCTTGCATTTCATACTCACCCTTCAGCAAGCAGAAGGCAAAGAGGGATTTCAAGGGCTATAAGCCGAAAGCCAGCATCTCAGCTTAACGAAATCACTGCATTTCTCATCACCTCAGTCGGGATGCTTCCTGCGCTCCCCCCGCTGCCCAGCCATGGCCACGGGCTCTGCTCGGCGCTCTCCCACCGGCGGCCCGTGAAGCACTTCTGGGGAACTTCGCTTCTTGAAGAGATGACAACATGCCTCCATCTTCATCTCCTGATCCCTCCCTCACAGGAGGCTGGATGAAGGGCTTGATCTCCAAGGTCTCCTGGGAAAACCTTCTTGAACACGCCAATACGAACACACCCTTTGTAACGAACCACTGTTGGCGATGCTCGAGAGCCAGGAAT